TCATTTGACTGTCTTCCCGATTTAATTTTTAGCTGAAATTTGATATGGGTAAACTAGACTAAATGAAGAAGATGCTAAAAAAAATTCATCAAAAAATTCCACCCGGAACTGCCTCAATTGGCGACGTCCGGGCAGAACCTCATATATAAGAGACTAATTGAACACTTTAAATTAGTTCATGTACCTATTTGACCTTTTAGCCTATAAACTACTCAGTAAGTACTCCTACTTTCATAAATAGTTTCAAACACTTGAAAGAAAAATAGTTTAAACTGATGTGGACTTTTTATATACCGGATTAATATTATCAAAAAATAGTTGTCAAATGATATTGGGGTGTTTGGTTTGTGGCCGATCAGCCAATTTTTGGCTGTTTTGACCACTATTTGGCTTTTTGACCAAATTAATCAACTAATGGAGTGTTTGGTTAAATGGCTTTTTCATTTGACTTTTCATTCCAAACAGCCAAAAATAAAAACGCCTGCAAATGTAGCGTTTACCGTTCGGCCGTTCGCGAATCTCCAGGATTTTCCCATTCTACCCATCGTCCCTCTTCCCCTCGTCACTTGACATCTTCCGAACAAAAGAAAAAAGCAGAGCAATTTTAATTTTACAGCTGGAACGTCAATTCAAACTGATAAGAAATGTTCTGTTTGGATAGTACGACGAATTTAATCTGAGGTGATAGCCATGGGATTCTGAGGTGTAATTTTAAAACCATGAGACCATCGTCTTCAGATTCCTGGAAGGCCATTAGCTGCTCAGATTCCTGGAAGGCCATTAGCTGCTCCGCCCTGCACTAGCCGCTCTAACTTCCCCAATCTGACATATTTTCAGAACGAACAAATACTCCGTCATAGACCACTTCAACTCTTCCTTTTTACCTTCTTACTCCGTAATTTTTAAACAACTTTTCTTGATAGACCATTTCAGAACAAATATAATTTTTATTATTAAACAAAAATGGTGTAATTAAGTAATTGTACTAATAAGTAATAACGTTAATAAAATGTACTACATAAAAGTAGGTTGTAAATAAAAATGAATCGATGTCCTTAAATGTCATTTAACAAATTATCAGTTGATTATAAACAGTCATTTAATCAAACACCATTCTATAAACAGCTAATATTACCTGCTAATCAAAACAGCCAACAAAATCCGCCAAAGGTCAACAGCCAACACCACCGGCCAACAGCTAACAGCCAACGGCTGATTGCCAAACACCCCATTGACTTTTTAGACGGGATGAATGTCTCTTAAGTATTCATGCACCCAAATTTAAATTCATCACAACGTCAAGTTTATCTCCTACTATTAATATATCAACATGGTTTTTGAATAACTTCAATAAATCACTGAACACGATTATGATCTCCAAAAAACATGATAAGCACGATGTCGGAAATGTGAAATATGATCCAAATAGAAAAAAATGAAGTCACGGGTCAAAAGTGAAAAAAAATCGGCACTTTTGAGTCAAATATGGAAGCCAGTTGCGCCGCCTAGCCTGAAACTATGTAATTGCGATTTGGGAACCAACCGGTGCTGGACCCACCAGCAAACTGGTGTCAGTCATGTGTACAAAGTAATATGAGAAATCCAAGAGCACACTGGTGCTAGTTCCATGCCCAAACTGGCCCCAAATCCCCACTTTGGTTTGATTTTGCAGAAAACATCATAACGGGCAAGATATAACGGGCAAGATATTCTTGAGTAGAAATGAAGATATTAAAAGTATGGCTGGAAAAATTTGCTCCAAGTTGATGGAGGATCATGAATAGACTATCAAAGATAATTTTTAGCATATACAAACCTTTCGATCCATCCCAAATGCACCATTCAATCTATTAGTTCGTAACTTTTTCGGAGTTTTTATAGTTGTTCTTTGTTCTTTATGTGTTCTTGAGGTGTAGAATCCTGTTTTCTTCAATCATTGATGTTTATGTATCACTTCTTTTGTATTTTCATGCTCTTCGATTTACATTTAACGTATTGTAATCTTGATTAATACGAGCATTAGAGACTAAGTCCTTAAGTCGATCAAGACTCGGTATGAACCTCTATACCCGCTAGTTTTTTATATTTGTTTTAGGTCAACTTTCATGATTTATTCTTTCTTAATTTTGGCTTTCCATATATGTTATGCATCATAATAGTATACTATATGTATTGATATGAATTAACTAACATTGAAATATCACTTGGACACTAGAAGAGTAATTCATGTCTTAGAAGCTGTTCCGTTCACCTGATCTGAATGTTTCTGATCTGAATTTTTTAAGTTCTGATCTGATCTGATCTGAATTTTTCTGATCTGATCTGATCTGATCTGAATCTTTCTGATCTGATCTGAATCTTTCTGATCTGATCTGAATCTTTCTGATCTGATCTGAATGTTGCTGAACTGATCTGAATGTTGCTGATCTGATCTGATCTGATCTGAATGTTTCTGATCTGATCTGAAAGTTTCTGATCTGATCTGAATTCTTCTGATCTGAATCTTTCTGATCTGATTTGAATATTTTTATAATTGTAATTATAATTATAATTATTAGATTTATAATTGTAATTAAAAATATAACTTAAATAAAATTACAATTATAATCATAATTATAAAAAAATAATACTTAAAATTAAATTTAAAATTATAATAATTATACTAATTACACTAATAATAAGTACAGATACAATTATAAATGTAATTATATTTTTAATTATGATTAATTTTATAATTAGTATTGTAATTATAATTATAATATTCATTTCTATAATCATAATTATATCTATAATTACTAATTTAAATATATAATTACTCCGAAGTAATAATAATTACAACAATAACAACAAGAACAACAATCATATTAATAATAATGATGATTATAATTATAATTACATTGAAAATCATAATTAAAATTATAATTATAAATATATTATATTATATTATATTATATTATATTATATTATATTATATTATATTATATTATATTATATTATATTATATTATATTATATTATATTATATTATATTATATTATATTATATTATATTATATTATATTATATTATATTATATTATATTATATTATATTATATTATATTATATTATATTATATTATATTATATTATATTATATTATATTATATTATATTATATTATATTATATTATATTATATTATATTATATTATATTATATTATATTATATTATATTATATTATATTATATTATATTATATTATATTATATTATATTATATTATATTATATTATATTATATTATATTATATTATATTATATTATATTATATTATATTATATTATATTATATTATATTATATTATATTATATTATATTATATTATAATAATAATTTTATATTATTAACATTATTATTATTCTATTATTAATAATATTATTATATTAATATATTAGTATTATTAACAATAATTATAATATAATAATCATAATTAATATATTAATAAAAGTGATAAATCATGTTTGAATTTTTTGATCTGATCTGATCTGATCTTAATGTTTCTGATCTGATCTGAATGTTTCTGATCTGGTCTGATCTGGTCTGAATCTTTCTGATCTGATCTGAATGTTGCTGATCTGATCTGAATCTTTCTGATCTGATCTGAATGTTTCTGATCTGATCTGATCTGATCTGAATCTTTCTGATCTGATCTGATCTGATCTGAATCTTTCTGATCTGATCTGATCTGATCTGAATAAAATAAGATTAAGGAATAAGTAATAAGATTAAGACGAACGGAACAGCTTCTTAGTCTCCTTAGATTTAAAATTGTCTATACAACTACATTGCATAACATGTAGAGGGTTACATGGCCAACTAACATTGAAATATAGACAGTTCTCTAAAAGAATAAATATACAAAGTATTGACACTACAAGCAAAGTAACATTTCTTGACATACAAAAATTGTCAGAAAAAATAGATAAATTGCCAATACTAACACTCGTATACAAGTGTTGGTAAATATCTTTACGCCTTTAGTGACACACAATTGATCCAAACCCTAACACAATTTTTGTGTGTCAAGGAAACTTTAAGGTGACAGTCAAGTGTCAAGAAAATCCACATTGAATAATCATTCCTGGATAATACGCTAATTATAATAATTCCTATTGTCGAACATGTTCGTAATGTCAATGTGGGATATTATAAACTATTGCCATATTAAAACTTTCAAATTCAAATAAGTATCTAGTATCTCATTCAAATTTATTTAAAAACAAATAAGAACCACGTACAAAAGAACTAGTTCATAGTTTGATATGTGTATGATACGTGTATCATATCTTAATATTCAATATGTTTTCTTAAGATGATGTGAGCCGTAACAGGTGTCACATGAAGCGAAAACCATGCTCTCATTGTCTGCATAGGAATCCCTACACTTTACATATCATTATATTGCGTATTCATAAAATAAGTCAAAAAATCCCCGCACTTTACATACTTCTATTTACTTTAACTCTCAAAATGGAACTTTGTAGAACAATGCTTCCTTGTGGGTTCTACCCTATATTTTATCGAAATTGATTACTATATCGGCACTTGTATGCTTACATTTTTAGCTCGATAAGAACTACACATTATTTCATTTAAATATTAATAGATAGAACTAATAGTATGAGTAATTATACAGAGTAATTATAATATGTACTCTTAATATTTATTGACCAGTAAGATAAAGAATAAAAATGTTAATAAATGAGAGATAAACTAAAAATGAGAATGAATAAGTACACATATACTAGTAATATTTTTAGCTCGAGTTCGAGCATCTCATTCGAGTTCAAATCTATAAAAATTAATTAGCGAAACTTGACCCGATCTCGAACCAAGATCGAATGGAGCTTGAGTCGAGCTCGAAATATTTAATTCGTCCAAGCTCGAGATCGAGCTCGAGCTCGTGAATTTTTATTAAACTCAAGCTCAAGGATACTCATGCTCGAGCTCGGCTCGTTTGCACCCCTACTTATTCCTAAGCCTGACGATTAAATCTATCATAACTGTTTGAATATTGTCTGGTATATTTTTTGATTTTATTATAAAAAATGCTCTTTTTATAGTGAAAAAACAAGCAACAATCACACATTAATTATGAGTACTTTTTAATGAAAATATGACAAAAAAACTGCCAGGAACTAATCAAGAATTGAAATTAGAATCACATAAAAGTTGGACCACAAGTCCACAATGTTATCAGTCCATTTATTTATTTCAAATAAAAAATATTATACGAAAAACAATATTATACGACAATACGTAATTACGTACTCCGCAAGTGAAAAAAACAAAAAGTAAAAGAGAAACGAGGTGTAATTAACTGCCTGTGAGGAAAACGTATAATTGCAATCAATAGGAAAGAGTCAGCTTCGATTGCAAAGCTACATGATTCGCTCTCTTCTCCTTCCTTTCCCCACCACCGCGGGGCAGAATCAGAAATCCATAATCTGCCAGTGACTCAAAGGTTGTCTTTTCCCCCAAATTATCTTTCGGATATCCGTTGATATCTAAAGTTGTGTGCTTTTCATCTCATATCATTTCCAATTCGCAGCTAATTTGATCTTTGAAATTGAAGAGCTTTTCGATGGAGCCCCGGGTTGGAAATAAGTTCCGGCTTGGCCGGAAAATCGGCAGCGGTTCCTTCGGAGAGATCTATCTCGGTATGTGGCCCTAAAGGTTTCAACTTTATGGAATATCTCCATTTGATGGTTTCGTCAATCCTAATTTTGTTGTCAAATTCTCCAGGGACTAATGTTCAGACCAATGAAGAGGTGGCGATTAAGCTTGTGAGTAAAGATCCCATTTCCTCAATTCTCGAACTTCTGCCCTATATATCATATAGGAATAGTACGTTTTTTTACCAAATATGCGGGACTTTACCTCTTTCTGCTGCTACTGCATTCTTCAGTTCATAATTTACTTTATCGATGATTAGAAATTATGACCTTGTTTTAAATTCATTTGCATGACTTGTCAGTTGTCACTGATTCGATATAAGTGTATTATGTCTTTATTACTCTTATTTGATCTTTTTCCCTGTTCAGGAAAATGTAAAGACAAAGCACCCTCAATTACTATACGAGTCAAAGTTGTATAAATTACTACAAGGAGGAAGTAATTTTCTATTTCTACCTGTTTTTTTTACTTTTTATGTGGTGTATGTTATCTTGATGTCCTTTTATTTTGGTGTCAGCTGGAATCCCTAATGTAAAATGGTTTGGGGTAGAAGGGGACTATAATGTTCTTGTGATTGATTTACTGGGACCAAGTCTAGAAGATCTATTTAACTTCTGCAGTAGGAAGCTCTCTCTGAAGACAGTTCTTATGCTTGCAGATCAGATGGTAGAGTCAAGTTGTATTCATTGTTATATAGATCCTGTCGGTAAGATCTAAATTGGCTGAAGTGGCTGAATCCCATGAATTTGCTGCAGTTGTTAAAATTGATTAATCTGCTGAAAACCCCCTTCTAAAAAGAAATGTAACACACTTTTAAAAGAATAAAAATAATATCTAAAACTGAAATGCAGAAATGTCATTTTCTTTCATTTCGTCCATTTCAGCCCAAAAAGTAACTCTTCCTTCACATTTCTTAATTATCAGTCAATTCAGCCATTATAGTAAAATTGCATGTTGTTTGTTGTCAAGTTGGCTGATAAGCGGGAAATAGATCTCTCCAAAGGGGGCTCATAATTTAAGAAGCAAATAAATTTATACTCACCTTTGAGTAAAGTGATTTATTTCCAGATAAACCGGGTGGAATTTGTTCATACCAAATCTTTCCTTCATAGAGATCTCAAGCCCGATAACTTCCTTATGGGGTTAGGAAGGCGTGCAAATCAGGTCTGGGGAAATTATTAATTCATATTTATCTGTTTACATTTGCTTGTGGAATCAGATTCCTTAATGCAATTGATAATTAATAGGTCTATATTATTGATTTTGGGCTGGCTAAGAAGTACAGGGACTCGACAAATCACCAACATATTCCATATAGGTAATCTGCCTTCCATTCGTCAACCCACTTGACGTTATATGCTGAAAATTAGAGGGTTCTTTTGTTACAACATAGTAGGGAATTAGGGATAGAGCTTCTATTCCTGCACTGCATTCCTTCTGATATTCCAACTCGGCTCTTTGATTTTTGCCTCATGTATGCAGATTATGTTTGACTCGGCACATAGTAGGGAAATGGAGGGAAACTCGTCAATTATTTTATTTTATTTTTTCCTTAAAAAATATGAATGGAAATAAATTTTGGTTTAAACATCTTTCTTTTACATATATATTTATACTTTTTAGTATTTACGTAATATAAATACATAAATAAATGATTTGAATAAATATCTAAACTTCATCAATTTAGTTTGAATTAAATGCGGTCAGTTCCCCACAACATCTCTTGTTCAAAATTTCCACTCTATTTTTCTCCCTATTTCCTTCCCATTGAATTTCCCGAGTTTCAGAGAGTCCCTTAATAATTTCATTTTACTATGGCGACTTATATACAGGTGTTGACAATCTTGCAGTATGAGCTTGTGGGATACCTTTACAATTTCTAATTGATCAATTCTGTCTGGAAAGAATGATTTATTTATCACTATGGACGCTGATGTATTTTATGATTTTTATATACAGAGAAAATAAAAATTTAACAGGAACAGCCAGATATGCAAGCACAAATACTCACCTTGGTATTGGTAAGCTTGTTACAAACTACGTGATTTCTTTTAAATATAATTTCATGCAGAATTACTAGTAATAATCCTGACTCCTTGATCCGTAATTATGTTATAATAATAAAGAACAAAGCAGGAGGGATGATTTGGAATCACTTGGATTTGTGCTCATGTATTTTTTACGAGGGAGGTAAGCATTTATCTCTGTCTGTCCATTTTTCACCTGAACTGGTTCTTATGTGTTTCAAATGTGCAGTCTTCCTTGGCAAGGGTTAAAAGCTGGTAACAAGAAACAGAAGTATGACAAGATTAGTGAGAAGAAAGTTTCCACATCTATAGAGGTAATGATGCATCTTCAATACATTTTATTGTGCAAGGGGTGATGAATCATTTAACTTTATTGCTGACAGTTATTTTTTTGACTATATATTTTGTAGGCTCTGTGTAGGAGCTATCCTGCTGAATTTGCTTCTTATTTTCATTACTGCCGGTCACTTAGATTTGAAGATACTCCAGATTATTCTTATCTTAAGAGAATTTTCCGTGAACTTTTTATTCGTGAAGGTTTGATTTCTAAAAAGAACACACACATTTCTTTGCACATCTGCAATTTCATCAAAAGGCTATGTTTGGATCCGAGGAAGTTCCAAGGAAAGGGAGGAATTCGCTAATGAACTGGTTTTCCATATGTTTGGTTTAAGTGTTTAACTTTAGAAAATGTGAAGGGTAATAAAATATTTTTCATATAAAAAAACTATGCGTGTATTTAGATATTTTAAATCTGCATATTATACAAATATATCAATGAAAACTGTTCAAATCCATCTATACATATTTCTCCCAAAAGTTATTTCCTTACCATTGATCTCTGTTTTCTTTCCGTGGTATTTTCAGGTTCCAAACAGACCCTAGATATCTAGGCGACCTGCTTGCCTATCACTATGTAGTTGTCCACGCTGACTTGTATATATGATGATTTGTGGTTTCAGGCTTTCAGTTCGATTATGTTTTTGACTGGACGATCCTTAAATACCAGCAATCACAGCTTGCAAATCCTCCTTCTCGTGCTCTTGTGAGTGCCATTCAAAGATGCATTATTTGTGGTCAATTATTTCTTCTTTGTACTTCAAGATTTTGAAAAATAATAATAATATAAAGTAATGAATGTTTTTTTATGACAGGGTGGCAGTGGAATGAGTTCAGGAATGCCCCGTGCTGTTGCTAATAATGTTGATAGGCAAGCAGGTGTGGGTCTTTTTTCTGGTCTCCACGATGGAACCTTCCTTTTCCCTTGAGGACCCCACCCCAGTCCACTGGTCCTTCAGCCTTACATCCCTATTAATAGTTTTTCCATATAAAAGTTACTGTAAAAAATATATCGAAAGATTAGATTCTGAAAGATTAAAGAAAGTGCCACCTTTGCACCAAAACAAAGCCCGTTTGGTCTGGGTAAATTTGGCTAAAGTGGCCAAGTGGTTGAGGTTGTTCAAATGTTGGTTTTAGCTAAACATTCTTAATTCAAAGAACTGTAATATTTTAAGGTGGGGGTAGGACCGTAAAAGTGTCATTTTTATTCATATCAGAAACTTAAAAAAACTTTCTTCTTCACTCCTTTTATGAAAACAACCGCTTCAACCAGCAAAATATAACAAGTTTGTTTTGGTATTAAAAAAGGCTGTTAAAGCTAATAGGCAATGTGGCACCAAACAGGTGTCAGGAAAAAAACTAATGATGGAACCTTTGTTCATTTCCACCTTTGCAGATTTATGGTTTGTAATGCTGTTCATTGTCTTGAACACTGTTAGCCAAATGATATTACTTATAAAGGGATCAGATGCTAAAAGTGTGTATTCCATTATTCTATAGGTGGTGATGAAGGTAAGCCTACTGGTAATTTGGCACATAGTAGAAGCACAAATGCTGGGCTTAAACAGAAAGGTCCAACTAATGACTCGGCCATGGGTAAAATGGTAAAATCTACTTGACTCTTGAATACAGGTTACCTGATCTTGGGTTTTGGTTAGGGGGTGGTATTTCGGGTTTGCTTTGTGTATGTTTTACCCAGTTTGTGTTTTCCCTGTTCTCGGATTGGGACAAATTTAAAATAGGCAGGGAAAGATCTTTGCTGAATTTATTTAAAAAAACAACAAAGCAAACTTAATTAGTTTCGGTGTTTCATTGAGATTTTTGGAATTGCTCACATCGACTTATTTCATTCTAGGGCAGAGACTTAAATGAATAGACCAAATCAGTCTTAATTAGATTAGACTAGCATTAAAGAAACAATGAAATAGTCTCTTTGTACCCCCAAACAATGCGAGCTTTCTATCTATATGGTCAATGCAGTTTTTTGTTCTCTTGTCTTCAATTTTCCAAATTTGGGTATTAGTGTGCAATAGAACTCTCAGTGTAGTTTCTAAATATATATTCCGTAAATTTTATCAGATGTCCCAAAGGGGACCTAAATATATAAATTTTAAGTATTATTATTAATTTAAATATTGTTAGGGATGGTTTAATTAGATCATATGTCAAATTTTGTAAGCCGTAAATGGCCAAGTGTAATGAGAGCATGAGACGGAGAGAGTACACATCATACCAAATCAAGGCAGACCGGGTTAGACTTCAATGTACAAGTTTAGACCAGACCTGATAAATTCTCATCCAAATTAACAAAGTCCTTGTTGTGTTTCTTGTTAGGTTTGATTTTAATCAATTATGTTTAGAACTTCTGATTTATGTGATGTATGAAAATCTAACGAACTAAAAATGAATTACACATTGTTCCGTTTGATATTATGGTTCAGTCAAACCTAACTGTAAGTCTGTAATGCCCACCCCTACTTTTGGTAATAGAAAAAAATGAGATATTGACTGACATGTTGTGTGCAGTTATCCAGTTCGAGTTTTTTCCGATTAGGTGGGTCGTCTAGGCAGCCCGGTCTGTCCAGCAGCCGTGATCAAATCTCTGCTGGGCCTGACCCTTCATTTACCCGCCCGACAGATGTGAACCCAGATATGCTACATAAGATGTCCAGCACCGCTGCACAGAAGAGCTCTTCCCTCGTGCCATCTTCTGATCACAAACGCAACTCCTCAACAAGTAAAACCAATATTAAAAATTTCGATTCTACCCTTAAAGGTATAGAGGGCCTAAGTTTCAGCAACTAAGAAAAGATATTGCAACGCCACCCCACCATTACAATGTTTCCTTTTCTCGTCATTCGCCTGAGAACTGCTTTGAAGAAGTCAAGCTGTAAGGTGAAAGTACAGGGGCATGATGGTAACTCCAACAAGAACAGAATAAAGAATGTCATCAAGTTTCCAACACAAAAAACGAAGGTCCATCATCTACATACTCCGTATTATTTGTGCTTTGATCACTCTATGAACTATTCCATTTTTATGTTGTTTCGTTTGGATTCAAAGGCTATTTATACGTTATGCCTTTTTTCTTTTGTATCTTTTCTCATAGTTTCCTTTTATGGGATGCCAGAATGAGAGGCATTATTATTACTATTATTAGTATTATATCATCATCATGTAAATCCGTGAGAACATAAAAAAGAGCATTGTGAGGAATAACATACCTTTTTCCTGTTCTCTTGGCTGTGTGCATAATCCCTAAAGAATCAGCAGCTTTGTATAGGTCTTGTTTGGATGACAGGTGGATGTTTGCCTGAAATTAGTTGTTTGCAGATTGTGTTGTACTGTTAGATAATAATAATAAATTTTATAATATCAAAGTCAGACATAAAGATATTCGAATATTGTTTCAGTTTTCAAATTAAATGAATTAGTTTGTGACGTTTATTATGTCTGTCGGACTGTCGGTGAGGAAGGCAGACGACGATGCAAGTAGGTTGAAGTTTCCGGTTGAAGTTTCAACGAGTGAAGTTTAGGGATCTCAGGGGCAGTCCGGACAATTCATATCATTTAAATCACTTTTTTGTCCTAAATGAAAATTAGTCTCATTTATGTCGAATAAAAAACCACAAGTTTTATTTTGGTCATTATTTGTTGTATCATTTATGTACAGATATATAATGCATATATAAGTAATTTAACACATAAGTGCATGTAATCACACTAAGGGTGTTTTTTGGTTAGATTTCATTGGTATTTGGTTTAGATCTTATCGGTTCAATTTTTGATCGGTTTCGGTGATAATTTTCATTCATGATATGCCAGTGGAAATAACTTGTGACAATGATACTTTGGTAATCTTATGAATTATGATTATGATGTGATGCAGAATTGGAAATTATTTTGTCATATTTTTACTAGAATAATCTTAAACGGTTTGTGACGGACTTTCATGCACTCCACGTCTCCACTCTAACTAGTCGAAAATAAGATGGTGATGAATCGATGATAATGTTGCATGAATTAACAGACCAACCAAACAACCAATGTTAATTCTTTAAAAAGTAGAGTGGTATTGATAAAGAGAGGCCTTTTTTTTTTTTGATAATTCTTCAAACCAAACAAACACAAACAACAACAACAATAAAGTTATAATTAATAGTGGTGTGGCAGTAAAAAAAAACACAAACAACAACTTAACAATTGTAGATGTATCAAACCAAACTTGACATAAAAAATGGAACTTAAAATGTTGAAACTTAAGAATAACGGTTTAACAAATCAATCAAATGCACACAACTGCACACATAAGAACTAGATAAATCACACAAATCTAAGTTAGCATGAACCGGAAGACTTGCAGATACACCCTTCAACTCGTTGAAAATTAAACAATCAAATCCTTTTTACCTGTTGGTGTCAGTAATTTCTCATCTATTTACATGCACCAGCAGGTAAAAAAAGATCTGATTGCTTAATTTCCAAGGAGTTGAAGGGTGTATTTGCAATTCTTCCGGTTCAAGAGTCTGATTGCATAATTGCAAATAGTTCAAGGGTTTATTTGCCTCTTTTCTCTATTAACAATTATGCTATGACCCGGCCCATTGGCGTTGTCTATGTTGTAAAATCCGGACAGGTAAATGACCCGACCAAATGATTGGGTCACAGGTCAGCGCAGACCCAACGGGTCAACCCGGTAAATGCCGGAAAACCTAGGTCATCTTTTATAATTTTTATAGTAATACATACTCCCTTTGTCCCTGAAACAACTTTCTCATTTTCCTTATTTGGATGTCCCTAATTTAACTTCTCATTTCCTTAAATAGCAAGTTATCTACATCAAAACAACGCCAAAAAGTGCAAAAAAGTGTCAAACAGTGCCAAACAGTGTCGAAACAGTGTCAAAACAGTAAAATTTACCTCTTGGTAAGTTTATTTACTTAATATATGTGTAGGTCAAATCGAGAACTTGTTTCGGGGATGGAGGGAGTATATAGTAGTATATAAATTTTTAATAAAGTTGAATATTTTTCACAATAGTCAAATAATTATAATTCTTAGTAAGCATTTATGTTATATATGCAATGGTATTATTTGATATTTTTTTAGTCTTAAAGTAAATGAATATTTCAATATATATTATATACAGGGTAGTAATTACGGAATACTAGTGTTTGGAATTTGTTATATATAAATGGGAAGTAAAATGTACAGGGTAGTAATTACGGAATACTAGTTAATAATAATGATTTGACTTAGGATGTTTTCTTTTGGACTGAAATTTGGGTCTGGTCTGATCTGGTCTGGTCTGGTCTGATTTGGTCTGGTCTAGTCTGAACTGGCCTGGTCTGGTAAACGTCTGGTCTCTGTGTATTTTATAACTACGGAAGTCTGGTCTGGTCTGGTCTGGTTTGATCTGGTCTGCTCTGGTCTGGGACTGAAAACAGTCCAAAAGAAAACATCTTTCATATAATCATCAAAAGAAGAAAAAAACTTAATATAGGAAATGTATACTTCCCATTAATCAACATAAAATTACATCTAGCACATGTAGCTGAGTGTTCAATTCTTGCCGCAACTAAATGATTTTGCCGTTATTCTCTCCAAGGTTTACGGGTCAACGGGTTTGGACCGTTTCAGGTCATGCCCGGTCCGGTTCGGAATTTTAAAACATACAGAGTACATGTTGTGATTATGTTGTGCTTGAAAATAGCTGGTTGTGTTAGCTATTTTAGTTGGCTGATTATGTTAGTTTATCGTCAACAAATGTTTGGTATGTTAGTTGTTTAAGAATAGATGTTTGGCAGTTTGGGTGTAAAAAGACATATTAGGACATTAGTATTTAATCTAATTTCTCCTTAAGCATTTCAAAAAATATACGTTGTATTTTTTATTGCAAACAAATTATATACTGCGCATTAAAAATGAATTAGGGAAAAAAATGTGAAATTTTGAAATATGATCAAGAGATAATCTAATTAATCAATTACCCACCTTGAGTTTAATTTTGTGAAATATGCTGGCCGACACATTATATGATTATAAGTGGAAAAGGAGACATTTGTTTATAGTCTGATGGAAACTTTCACATGGATAAACAAATTAAACAAATTATAAGTGGAAATGGAGACATTTGTTTATAGTATTATTATGAATGATTAGCCCAAATTAAAAAACAAACATATACTACTATGTATAGGGGTGGTTCGGTACGGTATACCGAATATTTTAGCTCATATCTTTACCATACCGTAAATTTTCGGTATGCAAAAATACATACTGTTACCATACCGAAATTTCGGTATACCTTGTTTCGGTATACCGAAATTTCGTACGGTAAGGTACGGTATCCGTAAATTATCATGATTTAACATAACAAATTATTATATATCAAATAAAATATAGAAAATACGTGTTAATAATGATATACTAAAATCATTAATGAAATTAATTGTAAATTACCAATGATAACCTATTGGTGTTCTATTCAACTTTGAACACAAAAAATTATAATTATATTTAGATATTTCGACACATAATATATGCAGATAACATCACATTCTGCTAAAATAATTTAAACAACATAAATATAATTAAAAAACACCGCTTGCCAACAAAAAGTATAAATAATTCAAGAAATATGGATATAAAGTCATTTATCCTTGAATTAATGTTGTGTTTCTAGTTATTTTTATAATTTTAAAGAAATTATTTGCTTGGAATTACGGTATGACGGTATACCGGTATACCGTTTATTTTCAAAATATATACTGATACCATACCGAAGTAATTCGGTACGGTATCATACCGTACCGAAAGTGTCGGTATACCAACCATTTCGGTAAATTCGGTATTTTTCGATATGGTAAGTCCGTTATACCGAAATTTCGGTATTTTTCCCACCCCTAACTATGTATACTAGAGTTCGCGTTTTGGTCTATATATTTGTCCGTCCAATATAAAGTAATAACTTTATGAACGAAACACATACAGTGGTGCTTTGCACTAAACGATACACATACACGAGTGTCTACGTATTACGGAGTAATAGTCTTGAGGTTAATGGTAAGACTTCAAAAGTCAGTAAGTGGGTTGAGTTCTTATTAAGCAATAATAATAATGAACAATTACAGCACACCCTACTCCTAATCAAAGTTGAGCATCTAATCTGAGCTACGCGTACAGAATATTAGAGCTTATGCTAGTGAATATAAGTTGCCAACCGCTAAATATGAAATAAATGATACTATGTATACTACCATGTGGTAGGTGGTAGTGATGTGGAGGATTGTGAGTGACTAGCTTCCCAACCACCAAATCCGGTACATTAAATGTGTTTCACGTTAATATCTTGTTTTCCCGTCAAAATGTCCCAGATGAATGTCTCCCAGCCATGGTTTCAAATTGCGGAACACAACCGCAATTGCGGCCGCAATATTGCGGTTGCTGAGGGCACCGCAACCGCATCAGCCCGCAACACCCTTATGATCTGATTTGAAATCATGGTCAAAACCGCAACGTAACCGCGACGGCGCCGCAACATCCCGCAATAGGCCGCAATCGACAGCAACGCCTCCACCTGTCGATCATTCTTTCTGGTGCGAATTTGAAAATAATTCACGCTGCAGCGGCCGCAATACGCATCGCAGCGGCCGCATTAGCCACACCCGCAATCGCAACCGCAATTTAAAAACCTTGCTCCCAACTCCCTGGTTCTGGACTCAAGCAGCGAGCACAAGGTCAGCAATGTCGGTCGGGCCATGCCGAGCGTCCCCACTGAAGGCCCCATCCCCCAGATGATTGTCTGGGATGCTGGTCCGGCAATATTGAACTATTGAAGGCTTTATACTAAGTGAAAATGAAATTTTGTAACTAACCTTGCACTACATATATCTTGATTCAGTTATTGAACACTCCGTATTACTTCCAATTTTGATCTCTTCGTTTTGCTTTGGGAAGTTCGAAAATCTTTTTACTTTCAAAATTAGAATCTTAAGTCGTTATTTTTGCACCAAACGATAGATAAACAGTAGCTTATCTTATAGTAATAGTTTTCATAATGCATACTCCGCATAAAACTTATAGGATCCTAAACGTAACTACAATAGCTCGACTATAAACAATTATTGAGTAACTAAATAGTGATTAAATGGTACTCCGTATTATATTAAACATAAAAGTAATAAGCTCTAGACCTCTAGTCGATCACACGTTTCCAAAATTGTATTCTTTCCCAAATTTATATTGAGGGAGTTGGTTTTAGGCCACATAATAGAACCTAACTAGGCATGGATCTAAAGCACGAATGACTTGTGGACACCATGGATGAAAGACTGTTAGTGGTTTTATAAATGATTACCCAAATTAAAAAAATTATCGCAAACATA